ACTATATCTGGCTAACTTTTAGCTGCTTTGGGCTAACTCTTATAGTTTGGTTGAAAACTCGGCTCACCTTAAACTACTTTTTAACAATAATTCCTATGTTTTATTTTGCTAACGTTGTTGTTTTGGTAGCTGTTATGTTTGCTAACTTTAACCTTAATCTGAGCTAACAGACAGCTTTAATTTGGGATTTGTGTTGCACTTTTATCAATATTCTTGTTACAGCTACTCTTAACTAACTCATAGCTTTCCTTATATTTTTGTTTGCTTCTGAATTTTTTTTGGCTAACTCTAAGATGTTTGTGCTAATTTTCAGCTACATATGTACAAACTTTTACTTATCTTCCAGCTGGAAAATATCAGTTTTTTGGTGCAATTTCTGCTGATTTTAACTTTAGCTCGGCTAACGTCTACTGTAGATATTTTTCGTCTGTTGTGACACAACAAAAGTACTAACATTTTTAGCACTATTTTTGACCAATATATGACTTTTTAAAAAATATATCTTATATTTCTAATTCAAATATCTCATATAAGGGTTATACAGGTTAGCTCTTTTACCTTTGACTGGTTGTTCTTCAGACGGTGAGCTTCATCCACCACCAGACAGGCCCAGTCGATGGACTTGAGTGCCGTCTGGTCGATGGTCACCAGCTCGTACGATGTCAGCAGCACGTGGAACTTAATTGGTGCTTCCCTCTGCAGGAACGGACACGGGAAAAAACAGAAAGAGAAAAAGATTACTTTTTTCAAGTATTGTGTAAATTTTCTTTTCCTCTCTTCTCCTCACCCTCATCTTGAAGGCTTTCTTCCCCCCTTTGACGGCCGTGTCGTCGAAGGAGAACTCGTTCTCTCTGATGATGGCTCTGCTGTCCTTGTCTCCAGTGTACGTCACCACGTAGAAGTCTGGCGCCCACATCTCAAACTCCCTCTCCCAGTTGATGATAGTAGAGAGCGGGGCGCTGACCAGGAACGGGCCTTTAGTGTGACCCTGAGGGGCAGCAGAAGAAAATCAAGGTCAGCATCACATGGAGCAGAACAAGAGAGGAGGCTGAAGCTCTGGCACCTCTTTGAAAAGAGAGTAGAGAAAGACAATGGTCTGGATGGTCTTTCCCAGACCCATCTCATCTGCCAGGATGGTGTCTGTGCCCTGGGCCCAGGAGAATCTCAGCCAGTTCAGACCCTCCAGCTGGTAAAGGTGCAGCGTTCCTCCGGTGGATGTGACAAAGTCTGGCTGCTCCTCGTACTTTATGGTAGGCTGGAAGGAAGGAGGACCAGAGGACTTTAAACCAGAGGACATTAAAAACTTTAGTCTGAACAACGAAGGTTCCTTCAGTCTGGAACAGTGAGAACACAGAAGAGTCTGTTTATTCTAGACTTCCTTCAGTCTCTGTAGAAACAAAGCTGCTACAAACTTGACTCACATCAGTGACGGGGCTGGCAGGGTTGGACTCCTCCTCCTCCTCCTCACCCTCCTGGTTTCTGCTTCTTTTCCTGGGTTTGTCTGGATCTTCCTTCATGATGGCGTCCCTGATGAACAGGATGTTGTAAACAAGTCAAGTCAACAGAAGAAGATAAATAAGAGTAAATAACTGATTCTTAGTTATTCGGCAGCTGTGGTCAAATCTTATGGTCACTAAGATTTTTATTTTATTTGGTAAATGTTAGCACTATTTAGCTCATGTTAGCTTTTCTGTCGTTTTTGCTAATTTTATGCTATATATGGACTAATATGAATTTTGCATTTTTTGGAAACACTTAGTTATATGTGGGTGTACACTTCCTTCATCCATTAGCAAAATTTTAGCTATTTGGGATTTTTTTTCTATTTGTCATCCATCAAACTTGATGTGTTCATACAGCTACTAAAGACCTAATGGAAACAGTTGTAGTGACTTAGAGAGACATAAATGTCCCATTGTTACAGACCTTGACATATGTACACCTTTGTAGTTGTCAGATTAGAGCTCACACGTTAGTAGAGTTCTAAGTCAGTCCCACCTGTGCCTCCAGTAGTTGGCTCTGTAAATAGCAAAGTCAGGGATGTCCATGTCGTCCCTCTCCCAGGTGCACTGGTCATAGGTCAGGTCTCTCCACTTGACCAGGTAGTGGTACGTCCCCTTCTTGTCCACACTGACAGAACCACACAAACAGTCAGAGTCTGCTCTACTGTTGCTCCTGTGCCCAGAAATTTCAGTTCAAAGTTTGGTACCTGTGGTTGATGATGCGGTGGATCATCATCCACTCAGCTTTGATCCCATATTTGTAGTACTTGTCCTCCATGATGGCGTACTCTGGGTCCTTGGCTCTTCTCTTCTCACTCTTCCCACCTCCATTCTCATCTTCCCCTCCAGAACCGTAGTCCAGACTGGGGGGTTCATCCATGTCTGTCTTCCTCTGGTAGTTCCTGTACATGACGGAGTGGAAGATTTCCAACTAGAGGACAAAGGAGAGAAGAATTCAGAAGAGAATCTCAAGGAAGTTCTGTCTCAGGGATTTTCTCCTTCTCACCTGGAGCTCAGTGATCCAGGTGCAGTGCCAGTAGGACTGTGCCACCAGCTTCACGAAGAACTCCCTCTCGGCTCGGCCTTTCATGGGTGGTGGTGGGGGGGCGTCTGGTGGAGCGTCAGGAGGTGGAGGAACAGGGATGGGAGGTGGTGGTTCTCCCCATCTCCAGTGCAGAATCTTCTGGACCCGACCTTTGATTGGTGGACACTAGGGCATGATTTGATTGTTAAGAGTGGATTTTCATTTGTAGTATATTTCCTCAATAATTACTTTAAATATAGAGTGTACAGGTATGTCCCTCAGTGGCCACTTTATTAGGTACACAAATCGAACAGCTCATTTGTGCAAATATCAGTTAATCAAATGATAGCAACACAATTATTTGAACAGAATGGAATCAAGTTGCTCCGATCAGCGCTTCTCTACGACTGCAGCCCTCTGATCAAAAGTCAAGACAGTACAGAGGATTACAGAGCTAGAACTATCAAAACTAACCTAACGGATTAGTCAGTGGTCATATAAATTAAGTGTAGCTGCAGTATTTCTGTTATAAGTGATTCATAAATTCAAGATTCACTGAGCTAAAAAGTAAAAAGGGAAGTGGTATTTGACAGACAACACCAGCAAATGAACTAAACTAAACTTGACATCAGGTCTGAGATCAGTGGAGAAACTCACCATACACCGTGGACACAGCCACTCTCCGTTAGGAATCTCCGGCAGCGGCGGGTTCAGACAGTGGATGTGGTACGAGGAGGTGCAGGTGTCGCAGCACAGCAGCTCCCCTCCATCTTTACACACCCGACAGAACTCCATGTGGTCATCGTCCTCCTCGTCTGCGCCTGTGGGCACACCGACACCCACATCTGATATCACTCTGTCCTCACTGTCCTCTTCAAAGTCCTCAAAGTCCTCGTCCTTTGCTTCCCACTGGATGCCTTCTTTCTCCTGGCAAAGGATGAGGAAAGGAAATTAAATAAAAGTAAAAACATAATCATATGCTAGTTCAAAAACACTATTGATGAATTATCTTGGACAATCAAACATTTACAAACGTTTCCCCACAGAAACTGTTAGCCAAAAAGCCAGAACAAATACTAAGTGCAAAAAAGCTATCAGAGAAATTGTTTTATGTTAACTTTAAGGACAAATACAATAGCAGAACTTTGCTAAATAATACCCCAGAAAAGGCTGAAAGATAACCACAATAACAGCAAAAATAACAATAGTTATAAATGAATGAATAAAACAGCCTGTACTTAACAAAAAACAAAGTATTTAGCAGCTAAGGTAATTAAATGTTGGCCCAACAAACAACAGAAAACTAGCCGCAATTATTGAAGAAATTTGCTCTATTTTATTTTATATTCTGGTTTTTTGAGACTTATGAGACTTTTTTTTATTTAATTTTGCTTGAAGCAGGGAAAGCTGATTCAGAATAAAATAAATAAATAAAAATGTTTTGTTGTTGTTGTTGTTGCTTTGTTGTCAAAATAGGCTTGAATGAGTCCAAATGTAAACCTCGGAGACACTGCCAAAACAAAACTGAAACTGACTGAAACCTGATGAAACCACAGAAAATAATTTAAACATAAAATCTGTGCATCCACAAACCTGGCAACCCTGTGTTAACAGCTGATGCAAACTGCTAGAAATACACAGAAACAAGAAGGACATGAAGTAAAAGACGTAGTATTCACGTAGACATTCTGCAGGTGAGGCTTTTAGAGAGGGCTGGAGTCAGCATTTTACTCAAGTGACGACATTAGGTACAGTCAGACCCATGACTGACACTGGTTTTATGGACGTCAGTAAAAGTCGAGAGATTTACAGCTCGAGAAACAACTCCGGTGAAACAACTCTGGACATGATGGTGTGTGTGTGTGTGTGAGTGAATGTGTGAATGTTTAAACAAAGGCAGCTTTCACTGGATGATGCAAAATCAAAGCTTCTATTCATCTGCCTCCTCCAAACAAGTAAAAACAAAAACCTGTTTTTTTCACCCAGGTTTGGCAGCAAACATCAAAACCTGAGAATCAGCACTTTTGAAGAGTTCAGAGCAGACTGGAGGTGAATTAACACTACACCAAGAAACCATTCAAACAAAAAAGAAATGTGAGAGGAGGTGAGCATGTTATTATCTCCTAAGGTCACTCCCCAGATACACAGAGTACTTAAGCTTTACTTTGTCATGTTACAACTCTAGAAGAGAATAATTAAAATGAAAATAAATATCAATACTTTTTTTTAAAACCAGATCCTACCTCAGAATAAACTCAGAAACTGTAATGTTACTGTATATTCATGAATACGGGTGCAGAGTTTTTTTTATGATTATTGTTGGTAAAACTCACACAGTGTGGGCAGCTCCACTTGCCCTCTGGGGCTTTGTCTAGCTCAGGTTCTAGGCAGACCAGGTGATACGCTCTGGGACAGGTGTCACACAGGATGATCTCACCCCCCTGCTGACACACCTCACAGTAGTCCTGATGGTCTGTCTCGTAGCCCTCACCCTCCTCCTCACCTGGGGCTGGGAGGCGAAATGAAAAGAAGAAGGCTCTGTGAATTTAAAATGAGTGCTGGAAGGCTGTGCCTATGGTGCCCTCTGCTGGAGGAGATGATGCTAAGACACAAAGAACTCTTAAATGCAGACATGCCCTATTCTTTAATGTGTGACGAGTAAAGTCTGACTTTACTGACTTTACAGCGCCTCCTTCTGCCTGACTGTGACTATATAAACTAAACAATAACAAGTAAAACTGGTGGTGACAGATTCAACACACCACTGCACACAACGAAACGTGACTTCTGCATTTTACCCATCACCATATGAGCAGGGGGCAGTTTAAGCACCCGGGGAGCAGTGTGTGGGGACGGTGCCATGCTCAGAGCACCTCAGTGGTAACTTGGTCACTGAACCACCACTGCCCTGTACGTCCCTGATACACCCCCATATAATGTGACCCTCAGGCCGCCTGCTGTCGACCAGTAGTTTGGATATGTTTTTTTTTTAGTTTTGCTGCAGTTTTTTTAAACCTGATGATTAAAACGAGTGAATTTCTGATGGTGAGAAGTGACAGAAATTACTGAATAAATGAATAAAATGACACAGTGTAAAAATATCTTATGTAACATCAAGTGCTGTTGATTCCACAGGCAGTTTTTTCTTACTTTTCTTCTTCTTCTTTGCAGGCCGCCCTCGTTTGTTTTTCTTGACGCGACCGGAGCTGTCGGAACGTACGGAGGAGCTGTGAACGCTGGAGTCCTCCTGCTCTGACTCCTCCTCATCCAGGTCCTCACTCTGAGGGAGATCACACATGGAGTCAACTCTTCAGGGATTAAGACCAGGCTGTTTAGCCATGAACTTAAACACTCACCGAGCAGCTCTTCTTTCTCTTAGCACCTATAGGTGACAGTTTGATGCGAATAGGTGCCATTTTTTTAGCCTTGGCCAGAGCCTTCTTCTTGTCTGAGACTCGGGGACTTTTACTGCGCTTCTTGTAGCCAGGCCCTGGATGGAGAAGGGAGAGAAGACAATAATCAGAATCAGAATCAGAAATGCAAAGGACACCCCTGGATAAAAATGTAAACATAAATAAGGGAAATGGAATAAAATAGAAATGTAATAAAATACAAATATAAAATAAATATAAAAAAATATATAAAAATAGAAATAATGTGAAGAATCTACAGGGTGTGACATAAAGATTGACTTACTGATAAATGACTAACATTTGCTTCAACAGTCCTGGTACAAACACCAAAGCTAATGTTAGCCACAACAGACCTTTGCCCTCCTTTGTCTTGGCTTTCCTGATGGGTGGCGGCTGAGGAGGTGGCTCTGGTGAGGCGGTCGCAGCTGAGACCTGCTCGGCGACGGCAATGGCAGCGGCCGCAGCAGCAGCTGCAATCGCAGCGGCATTGCCCTTGAAGGGGTTGTTGGAGCTGAACTCTCTCCATTTGGCCCCCAAAATGGTCATCATCTTTGACATGGGGATCTTCGGGTTCTTCTTGGCGATCATCGGCCTGGGGACAAACAACGAAATGAACTGCAGTGTAGACCTGGCCATGAGGAACCTGCTGAAGGTCCAACTATCATCATCAAAATGAAGAAGATAAGTGATTTAGGTGACTTTGGGGGCAGTGGTGGCTTAGTGGTTAAGGAAGTGGACTCGGGTCCAGAAGGTTTCAGGTTGGAGTCCACCATCTGCCAAGTTCCCAATGAGGTGCTCTGTCATGGCTCCGTCCCCACTCACTTTGGTGATGGGTTAAAAACAGAGGTCACATTTGGTTGTGTGCAGTGGTGAGCTGTGTCACAGTGACAGGAGTTCACTTTCCTTTACTTTAATGTCACATGGTGACATTTGCTGGTCAACTACAATTATGTCACATAACCAGCTCCAATGGTCCAAAAAGGAGGAAAACATCTCCTGTTCTCAATCCATCTCAAAGTCCACGGGAATTGTATGATGCTGTCATGTGGACAAAGAAAAAGACTCTCACCGAGTCAATTACACATTAAAGCAGTTCTGAAGTCAAGAAAAAAGAAAAGCAAGATGTGCCTGATAAAGTGGTCAGGTGAGGCTGGGTCAGAAAGTCCTGACACGGTTGTTTTACCCATTTCTACAGTCTGATGTTAATGACTTGAACCAGTTCAATACTTTTAGTTTATTCTGGATTATTCTAATTTCACAATTTACCGCATAAACTGGCTGAAGGCCTTGTAGTTGGTGAGTTCCCTGTAGTCTTCCTCTGTGAAGGTATGATCAACATCCTCCAGTCCCCACTCTTTAGCCAGCTGGGCCGAGTTCTTCTGCTCTGTCGGTTGCTGAAAAGCATTGAGAAGGAACCACAGGTTGAGTACTGACGTATTATTACAATGGTGTAGGTGAAAGAGAAACTCGGCCTCTACCTTGGTGGTTTCCTCCTGACTGCTGTCTCGGTCTCCGTCATCTTTCTTCTTCTTCTTGGTCTTCCTTTCCTTCTTCTCTTTGTGTTTCTTCTTCTTTTTCTTCTCCCCAGAGCCATAGTCGCTGGCCAGGCTGTCAGAGTTCTCGCCATAGTCTCGTTCTCTGTCCGAGTCTCTCTCTACATCACTGTCCTAAGAAGACAAAACACCAGGGATTGATTTAAAGACAGTGTTAAACAGGGACAATATCCTGAGGTTGACACCTTCACACACTCACAATCTTCTTGCGTTTCTTTGCTTTGACAGGTTTTCCCTCTTTTTCCTTCTTCTTTGTGTCCTTCTTCTTCTTGGGCCGTCCTTTCTTCCGGCAGGACACTCTCTCTGATATCTCTGCCTCTTCATCTACAGAGAAAAATAGTGATGGAGGTTAAGAAGAGGCAGATATCCCAATCAGATGAAAACTGATCTTCATAAAACTCTTCCTAAACCCAGGGTCCAATAAACTCTGACCTTCTCTGAATGATTTTAGGATAGTGACAGTTCTGTTAGAGGTGGAAGTGAATCTGACAGCTGCTACAGATTAGAGGTAATTGGCTTACGATGATGCAAAAGTGTGACATCTCTTTGAACGTGATGAAACACAAGGAAATCAAAAAAGTCAAAATCAAAAACGCTAATAAATTAATGCAGAAAAAAAGTTGTCAAAATCAAAAACGCTAATAAATTAATGCTTCTCCAAGTCGGTAAATGTCTTTCACTAAACCTTTCCTAACAATACACAATAGATTCTCTCTTGAACATTATCAACAAACAAAAATATCCTAGAATTACTGCAGTAACATTAGCAGTCCAGACTGTGACGTTCAGACCTGAACCAGAGGAAGACTGGTTCACTACATTTGTTCTTTGGGCTAAAAAATGGAAAAAGGAATGAGGGGTGGGGGGGTTGTAGATAGTATAGTACCTTTAACAAAATAAACACAGCAGATTATTAGGACCACCATAATCAGAGTAGCAGCTGCATCACTACACTGTTAATATACACAGCAAAACTCTGCAGATCTGGGTGTATGATGACGACAAAGTTTCAGGGGAGACAAGACGTACAATACACTCAGCTAATGGTACATCATGATTAGTAATTTTTTGTTCACAATGTAATTTTATCAGTGGTGCTTTGGCTCAGAGGCAGTGTCTCTGTCATTGGTGTGGAACCCCAGGGTTCACCTCCTGGGCAAGATCCAATCCCCGTGAGGACGTTTGGTACCTTCCAGTGGACTCACCACCCACAGGAAGGTTCAGGGGGGTTGGTAAGGTGCAGTGTGATTTGGGTGGTGGTCATGGAGACTGCTGTCCCCGTGACCCGGTAACAGATAAGCGGATGAAAATGGATGGATGGATGGATGATTTTATCATGTTTTCTAAACAAAATGAGCTCCAGACAAATTAGGACTAAATACAATGTTCCTTTTTTATAAGGACTATGAAAAATACTGTTACCAACTGATGGTCTTGTGTACCTCATACACTGAAATTGTTATCTTAAATAAGATTAAACAAAAACACATCATGATTTATTTCCTCTAATTAAAAGTCAAACTGGTGTTGTCCTATTTACCTCACTGACTGTCAATATATTAAACAACAAAATAATACTAACAATATGTGTAACTTGTGGAAAGATCTCCTTCTTTTACAAAAACACTGTAAAATCCTGTTCTTCCCACTGTTCTGTTTGAACAAACTTACTAAACAAATAAATGACAATTAAATATATAGACAAATAATTCATATAAATACTGAGGCTGGACAAATCACATCAGCAGATTCATCAGATAACCCCCCTACTGGTTGTTGTGCATAAACACAGGAGGGATGTGTGTAACACTTCCATGACTACCCAGTGTCAACCAGTGTTTCTGCACCAGCAGGACATAGCATCTCCTCCTGCAGGAAATCTCACTGTATGCACTGCCTAAGGCCAGGAGGAGTCCCTGTTGTTCTGCGAAACTCCTCCACTGCCTTCACAGCTTTTGATGCTTCTGTCCTTTTAGCCTTCAGGGCGACTCCAGTAGCACAGATGCATGTCAGGCAAGTGTCAGAGAGGGAGGCTTGAGGGGGAGATTTGTTTAATCTGTTTAAGAGAATTTTACTACAGATATTTAGTTCAAGTTCACTGTACAAACTTATCAACACTTTAACGACTCTACATCTTTGTACGATGCTCTTTTAGCACCAGGTTTAGTGAAGGTTTAAAGAAGAGTTCTGTGACACAGGACACAGGAGTTGGTAGACAGACGTTCATCTTCATCTAGAGAAGCAACAATCCACCAACAATCCATGGTCAGAACTGGCCACTGAACCGGTTTTCAGCACAATCGTCAAAGACCAGCGATCAGCTGGTCCACATACGTATTGCCAGTTTTGCAAGTGTTCTGTGTTGGAAAACAGAAGCTCACACTATTTGTAATACAGTATACAGTATGTAACAGAAAGGCTAACATTGAAGGACAAGCCTAATCCAACACTTTAAACACTATCATCCAGTCAAACACGAGCAGTCACACAGAACTGGCTCCTTTTTTTTTCAGACGTGAAGTTACTGGACCCTGGGTTTCACATCCTACAACTGTTTATCTAGTTTAATTAGGCGTGTGGCAGATGAGAAGAGAAATCATTCACACTTCATCTAATCCTGCATGTTTTTTGTACAGTACTACACATATCTCCCCCACCCCCCGCACATTCATAGCATTTTGTAAAAAAAGAAAGAAATGCACTTAATTACTTTAAAAAATAATTCTTCCAAATGGCTATTGTCAGTGTGCAAACAAAAAATAATTACAAATCAGTGCATTTTAAAGGTTTAAATGTATTTGACTTGCTGTGACCTACAGTCTGCAATGGTTTTTTTGCCCTCAACCCCTACTTTGATGAACCCGTGTATTAGACTGTCAGTTGGGGCTTGTTACTTGTATAACCTACAGTTAAAAAATAGTTTTCAAGACTGAGCCCTAGGTTGACGTTCCTTTAAACATCAATCTGCAAGCAGTTAATCTTTCAGCTGAGTTTGAAAGTGTTTTTGTTTAAATAAGTCATTGAACCATGCCTATTATATGCTGACAGCTGAAAGTGTCCCATCTTTACTCCCAGATGTATAACGTTGGTCTGAACAGGTTAATGGGGTCTAAAAAGTGAACTCCAATCACTTTATTTTTTCTTCCAGAAACAACTGTGCAACAACAGAAATTAGTCTGGTTTATTAAAAAGATGATGTCGTAGGTACAAAGTATCTTTTTGAGTAGGAGAAAAAAAAAACAGCCTTATGTTTATATGTTGTATTTGCGCGCTCTCGTACCCTAAAGTCTGTACCGTTGACTGGACCTGGAACATGGGGCTCGGTCCAGTCCGGTCTGCTCACTGTCAGACTGCAGAGCTCTGAGGTTTTTCCAAACATGACTTTTGTCCTTTATATCTGAATATTGTTCTTAGAAGTGACAGAATAGTTGTATTTGTTGTGTGAACTGCGCGTTCCCGCCTGTTCCTCCTGTCTTTTCGACTCTACTCTACCTGGAGCAGCGGCGGCGGCAGCAGCGACAGCGGCGGCCGCGGTGGTTGCACTCTCTCGGGGCGCCGCCGGCGAGTTTATGTCGCTGGCGTTCCTGTCCAAATCCGCGCCGACTCCTCTGCCGTCCTCGTCCTCGTCTTCGTCCTCGTCTTAAACATCGAAATCTCCTCCCTCGGAATGAAGCACCATGCCCTCGTCTTCCTCACAGGAGCGGAGAGGAGAGGACATTATTACATTCCTGTCATTGGATCCAGCCTCGCTGTTTTCTGTCTATAAATATGAACTATTGTAACTAGAAAATCAAGGGTGTTTTTATTTTAATATTCAAATCCACGCGCGTCCAGCCTAGTGAAAAAGTATGTTTTCATAAAAATAAATAAATAAAAGGAATAGCAGGAGTAGGGGGGGCGTTTTGGAATATTTTACACTCATGCAAGCAGAGCAACAAAGATGGCCGCCCTCTCTTATATTTATTTTTTAACAACCCCCCCAATAAGAAAAAAAAATCCCCTTACATAAAAAATGGCTGACTATATTATTTCATGAAGGCACCCCCTCCTTCTCCACCTCCTCCTACCTCACCTCCTCCTCCTCCTCTGGCCCCCTCCCTCTGTAAAAACCTACACATTATTGTTACAAGAGGAGGAGAGGAAAAAAGACAAGAGGGGTGAGTGTGTTTGTGTGTTTCTATGACTGTCTGCTCCCTCTTTCACCTCCTTGTCTCACCTCCACCCCCTCCCCACCTCTTTCACCAGAATCCACCAGAACCCACCAGCAGTTTCTCTTGCTGTCACTGTCACTTTCCCTTTTCTGCACTGCAGACACTAATCTCTGTCAGGATCAACAATCCAACATGGCCGCCTCGCTGTTCAGAGCCCCACCAAAAAGATTTAGTGTGCGTAATCCTACGTGTTTATGTACCAGTGTGTACAAGTCTCTGTGTGTGTTTGTGCTGGGGAGGGATTCTATGAGAGAAGGACAAGAAGAAGAAAAAAAGAAGGGGGTGGGGGATTGGGAGTAAAAAAAAAAAGAAAAATCTGCCGCAGCCATGCCCAGACTTACATCAGATTGTGTTGCTTAAAAATTAACTGCTTGTGGTAAGGATGAAAATCTTTCATTAGATGCAGCAAAGCTGCAGCTGCCGCTCCTCCTGCCTGGAAAGTAACATATTCAACAGCACAGAGCAGCAGACGCTGACGAGCACTCTTTTTAACTTCCTTATTTTTTACTTGTCTATTCTGCAGAAGATGATGTAAAAAGAATTGATCAGATATTCATCCTCAAGGCCAAGTTGATTGGATGTTATTAAGGCCATGGGAAACACTGACCATAACACCCTCCATATCTGTCTGCTCCCAAGCCAGAGCCTTTTGTTTTTATAGAATGCAATGGATTTGCCGTTCTATTAAAAACAAATACTTTGGTAAAAAAAGGAAATTTTTACCAAAGCAAATAACCAAACAAATAGAAAATGCAGTAAAGTATCACAATTTTTTTTATTTTAAGATATAGCCAGATCTCCCAGCCCAAAAGTTAATGATAATATTAGCTAAATATTAGCAACAACAACAACAACAACAAAAAACACCAAGATTATTTTGGGCAGACACAGCAAGGCAAAAGTTAGACTAAATATAACAGAAAAAAGAAAAACAGTGAAGTGTAACTCAAAATTAGCTCAAAAATAATTAAAAGACTATTCAAGGTTGCAATAGCTTTAGGTTAGACTTGGACAAAATCGCAAAAACAGAATGGCAGAGGGGCCTTAAATGGAACAGACAGATGTGGACTGTAGGCAGGCCAGTCAAACACACACTGACCAAACTTTTTACAATTACTACTTCCTGTAAAAAGACACCATCTTAACAGGAGCCAAGCCACACTTGGTTTAAAGTATGACAGCCCTGAGTGTGCGCTATAACAGGTGTCCTCACAGCTTTTCAGCAGCAGCCACAAGTGTGTCCAAAGGAGTTTGTAAGTGTCAGATCCACAGGCCACATCTGTTAGGAGGACGACAGAGACAGGCAGGGGGGAGGAGATACTGTATGTTGTCCTCCTCCTCCTGCTGCTGCCCCTCTTCAGCCTCCTCCACCCCCTCCTCACCATGAGGAGCCCCAAACTGCCAAACTGGGAGGGTAGTGACACAGTTTACATATGCTTAGTGTGTCTGAGGTGACTGTGCACAGTGCACGTGTCTGCACTGAGGCTGACACTGGGGAGGAAATGCTGCCTGCCCTGACACACTGCACTACTGTCACTGCACTCCTCCCCCTCATCCTCCTCCTCCCACACCCACCAGTGTGTTTGGTGAGGCCTGATTTGTCACAGATGAGAGGGTTAAAGCGCCTCCTGTGGCTGCTGCTCTCCAGCTACAACCCACACGTTAAACAGTGTGAAACACACACACACACTCAGGAAAAAACACACCAGCTCTTCTCAGAGTTCAGCTGTCTGTGACCAGAGAGCTCAGACAGCAGATAATGATTAAGTAACACATGTATTGTCACACTTCTGCAGTGTTAACATGTGGGGGTCGGGGGGTGTCAGACCCTTGTGAGCATTAAAATACTATTATGTAGTGATAGTTTATGTATAATTGTGTAGTTTAAATTAGTCCAGAAATGGTCATAAAATATTTTAGCTTGCATTATCCTACAATAATTTTTAATTTGCCCAAGTTTGCCCAAGTAAATGATTTTATTTATATATATATATATATGCGAAAATAGCTAGATGTTTAATCAAGTGTATATAAATACAATTGATAAAATGTTCTACTTTCTTTTAAACATTGCATAAAAACAGTGTTATTGCTGTCAGGTCAAAAATGGTTTAATGCTAGTCCAATTCACTAAAAGTTGCCTTACTTTTAAGATATTGATCAGAGGCTAAAAAACTTGTCTTAACAAATGAACTTACTACCTTTTCAGGCCCAACACTTTATTTTTAAATTGGAAGTTACAGGCCCCAGAAAACCTGAGAATTGAATACTGTATTACCGTATTTTCTCACGTGGCATTAAGCTAATTAAATCCAAACAGTTACCAGTACTATAATATAAAGCAATATTATATATAATAATAGCTATGGTAATGTGATATATTATTGAACTGTAATAAGAATACAGACCTAAACACCTCCTATCGAGCATAAATATCGTAAAGATACGGTTTTATTAACACTTTACCTTTTTCACATATCTTCTTTCCCCGCATTGTTAGTTGTTTATCATGTTGGACGCTAATAACCAAATCAATGTCGGCCCCTTTAAAAAACGGACCTCAGCGCTGAGCTGAGTTGGTCCGTCACTTAAAGTGTTCCGTATGTAAACAGGCAGATACGCTAAGAGGGCAGCTATGGCGACAACAATCGAGGAAAATGGTCCTTCGATCCACGTATGTTGTGATTTCAGTATTTTACGCATTTGTTACCGCTGTTTAAGTGGGATGAAAATTCAGAGAGAACTTTTTTCTTTTATTTCTATACCAATTAATTTCTAAGGCTTGATCTGTAATTTGCGTCGCGTTCCGGCGGCTAACGAGTTGGCTCTCATTACGAATAAACACACCTAGTAAACAACAAATATGTTCGTTTAAACTATTTAATATGTCTTTATATATAATAAACACCCAAGTATTTGTTACCAATAAGATTTGAGATCTTTGATTGAGCTAGTCAGAAATAAAGTCCCCACTGACAGGTTTTGCAGTCCCAATAAGATGTGATTATTTATTTATAGAAATTAGTAGTTAAAATTCCACCTCATAACCCAAAAATGAGCAATACTGGCATAAGGTTAGCCAAAATTTATAAATGTTGCTAAAATCTGAAATCCCGAATAATTAAGTAGCCCACATACAATTCAGAAAAAAGCTAAACAAATTAAATTAAATGAAAAATTATTGAAAAACTATGACCTATATGCAATTACGTATTTGAGGAATGGCGAAGTTAGACGATGTAAATAAAACGTAGATGTGGGACAAAACATAGCTCAACATGTATGAAAGAGACAGCCTCAAAGGCTAGACCCAGCATTTTAAGGCTTAAATAAAGAACCAGGAGATAATTTAGGTAAAAGATAGCTCTAACCAAGGGATAAACATAGGAGGATCTTCAGCTAAGATAGTGACGTATTGTTTAAGTAATTAAAAGAGTCAGTTAAAGGTCAACGATCATCTTCATAATGATCCCCCAGGTGCAGCCTGACCTATCGTCATCCTCTCAGGCCAGACAGAAACTAGAGGGACTCCTGAACAAGAACATGAGGATCCGTATGACAGATGGTCGGACTCTGGTGGGACTTTTCCTCTGCACAGACCGGGACTGTAATGTCATCCTGGGCTCAGCTCAGGAATTCCTTAAATCTGCAGGTCAGAAGGGAGTTAAGGAGAATTGTGAATAATAAATGATGAGCTGCTGAAGAGAATTTTTTCCAGTTTAAGTTCAAGCTCTATGTGATATTTAAGCAGGATTTGTCTCTTTGTCTTTGTCTCAGATACTTTCTCTCAGGGTGAACCCAGAGTCCTGGGTCTGGCCATGATCCCAGGTCACCACGTGGTGTCCATCGAGGTGGAAGCAGACATTCTGGAGGATGGACAGGGATTTGGAGTGGACAATTGATGAAGGTCTTTGAGTTAATGGACTCTAGCAGAGCTTGGAGCTATGGACAATTCTGTCCTTTAGTGATTTCATCACTCAGCGCTTAAAGGACCTAATCAGTTTGTGAAAGAAATGATCATTTCTAGTGACGTGAGTGAGTGAGTGACAGTAGGTATGTCACAGTTCACATCTTTGCACTGTGTGGGAATAAAATGCTGTATAACTGACTTGGTGTTGACCATATTTTGCTCCTTATCCATTTGTTGAGCTTTTTCACAGAAGCTAAAAATGAACTTTGGCTTTGTAGTGGTTTAATAATTTATCTTAGCTATCTGTAAGCTATTTCCTGCTAACATGTTTGGTCAAAATGTACAATATTTCGCTAATAATTATTGGTTAATTGGCTAGCTCATTCTCCTGATTAATCATTTTCCTTACATTTGCTACCTAAATGCCTCAGCTATAGTACAACCAATATACTGATATACTGTTCTTCCATTTTTCAACCCAGAGTGATTTAACCTGTTCTTTGAAGTAGTTTGTTTCAGTATTTTAATGTAGGTGAAGATGTCACCTGATTCACTTTGGCAACAAAAACAAAAGCAACAGAAAAAAAGTAAACATTTTGACTCATTTGAGTAACTTTTAAACAAAACGCCGCAGTCACACGTGTTCACACAATCCAGACAAAGAGGGATTTAAAGTAACATCTTTGAAATGTTGACCAATGAACGAAGACAACTCTTTTAAAGAATGGCACTTACAGCTAAGGTTTCTTTCATTTTTTACAGTAGCAAACAAAAACATTTGATTTGAATTGTTCTATCTGTGCAGCAGTAACTCATTGAACTAAACAATAAAGATAATGTGTAAGGTTTACTTTTACTAGTTTAGTCTTCTACTTCAGAGGTTTTTAAAGATTCTGGGGAAAGAAGGTTTGATGAGGTTTTCTTTCTAAGGGGTCAAAGTGCAAGAATCTCTGAAATAATTAAAAATAAAGAGAACAAAATCTACATTTTCTATTTCTGCAATAAATACTGTCGTTAAAGTGAAAAATTTCAAACAATGTTCAGTCTTAACTGTATCTTTTTCCAAACAAGACCAAGTCAAAAGAGAAATGTTTTTCTTTCCACTGAAGTAAAACCTCAGTTTTTGTTACAACAAGTTTGACCACCCATGAAAACTCACAGATGTCAAATTCAGTTCAGTCTGAGTCTCCTAGATGTCAAGTCGGAACGAGACAATGTGTGACAACAGCGGTGAGTACCCAAAAATTCCAAGTCGCTATAAAATGTCCAGGTAAGTCTGGGTCAAGTCCTCATGGTTTCAGTCCACCTCTAAGTATTCTCATTGATGTTCATGTGATAAGTGTGCCAAAATCCTAGTCAGGTCACAAGTCTGAGGCTGGAGTGCTACAACAATGGTTAATGGACCACCATGACTCAAACCCATTGACAAAACAAAGTAGCTACTGAAATCAGTGGACTTACGGGTTTGTTCTTTGGAGTGGAGACATTTCAATGTGTTCAATAAATTTGTTTTTCCAAGATTACTATAAAGAAAATCTGAAAACAGTGAGTGAATTAAACTGATAGCTGCAGCAAAAAAAGCTTGAAACTGGCGCAAAGTTGAAAATGAAGGAACTGTTCTGAAACATTACCGTTTCCATTCCACTACGGATCTGTAATGTTAACAAGGGTTTTGTTTTCTGTCGTTTTTCAACAGTCAACAAGTAATGTTTCCTAAAAACCCAAAGTTTTTGGACTAAAACGTCTCAGGGAACCCCACTGTGTCCACTCTGGAGTTTCTGGAGGATGTCTTCCACAGATGTTTCTCCTGATGTCCCATTAAAAAGAGTTCGAAAAAAACCCTGTTACTGTTATGTTCGTACTTGAGTCTAGTTGTACTGGAACTTGAAGTGGAAGTTGCCTCCAGACTCAAAAGGGTTGAAGTTGAACGGCCAGCTCTGATGTCCACCTCCGGCTCCACCCTGCTGGTTCTCTGGGTCGAGGGGATCTTCACCAGCATCAAACTTCTGCCTCATTTCTGTGTGAGCAAGACAAAGACAAAACTAAAAATCAATGTTGGCTAGGGTTTTTAAAGTCAATAAAAGCTAAGCTAACAGTCATTGTAAGTTAAAAAGGTTTAGACACAGATGTTCCACAGGGATCAGTTCTTGGTTCTTCATTTACTATTTTAACAAACAGACCTCTGAACAGTTTTGTCCACGTGTGTGTGTGTTGTTCTGGGCTACATTTTTAGTCATACTCTGATGCATTCCAGTAAATTTTATTTGACAGTGCCGACCTTGAAATGTTAGTTGAAACACTTCATTATTGTCTTGGTGAACATTTAATATTTATATGACAAATATTTACAAATGTTTCTTTTGATACCTAAACTTTTTAACCAATTGTTAAGTGTGTTTAAATCAAACCTATATTAATATTATTGGATATTTTTAGCAAAACATTTACAACTTATAGTCAACTATCTTTAGGTGAAAATACTCTTTTAGAAAAAAAAACACCCAAAACAAAGTGAGTGTTGTTTAACATCAGACCTGGGTCAGTTAAGACTTCTTTAGCCGACGCTATGTCAATAAATTTCTTTTCCGCTTCCTTCTTCTCCGTCTCAGACTGGAAGTTGTCTGGATGCCACTGCTGTGCCAGTTTCCTGTAGGCCTTAATGATCTCCTGCTTGTTGGCATTCCTAAAAAAAAACAGTACATTTTGTTTTAAATTTGTATTTAGTTTTGAAGTGAGACTGTAGATTAGGAAGTTAAGTTACCTGCTGACGCCGAGGATTTTGTAGTAATCTCTTTTACGGGATAGTTTGAGGAGCTTCTGCGCTCGCTCCAGCCCTTCTCTGATATCGCTGCTTTCACTGTCAAACTCTCTGGCCTCCTGGTAATCTTCCACCGCTGACGGACACAAGACTTAAATGTTGACTGCCTGAACCAACAAACGCAGGAGAGTCAAATCAAGTTTTTTGCAAGGCTGCTTTTATTTACCCTTCTCGTAGTCCTGGTTGAGGATGAAAGCTTCTGCTCGGTCTCTGAGGATCTTAGCATTGCGGGGCGATCTCTGATGAGCCTCTGAGCAAATGTCAATTGCTTCGTGAGCTAGCTTAATCTGGTTTTGATGATCAACACAACATGAAAACACAAAGAGCAGTGGAATTTATTAGATTAAGATCCATACGACACAGCAGGTATTGCACCACCATAGAGTATTTTTTCACCACTCCAGAGTTGATCAAAAGTAGTGTTTCCCACACTTCTTCTACATATGTTTTGAAGACAACAAACCCTAGTATGTCAATTTGCTATTACATCAGAAACACATTAGCTACCTATAGTACTATCACCATCATAAGAGCTTTAAAAACTCTCATACCTTCAGTAAAGAAACATGTCAAAGAAAATCCTCCTCTGACTCACCTTGACCAGACAGAAGCAGATCCTCTCTTTGGCCAAGTTTGTGTAGTGAACCACACTAGGCTCTGTTTTCATGACTGACTGGTACTTTTCAATGGCCTCCTGGAACCTAATCACAGAGGTTAGAAAGATTGTTTTTATTATTGTGTCAACGCGACAAAAAAAACCCCAACATTTTAGGAGGGAGGAGTGGTCACCAACAGCCGAACTGACCTGTCCTCCTGAATCAGCTCCTCTGCTGAGTCCAGTTGTTTGCTGAGCTTCTTCACCTGCTTGTAGTGACTGAAACATTCCTTGTCATCCTGGTCCAGCTTGAGACATTCTCTGATGTGGCTGCACAGGAGGATGCAAATGTGGACTTTGACCAAACCTTGGCTTGTAAGCCTTCACCCACAGACAGAACAGTTCTACTTTAATGCTTACTTGAGAGAATCGTGGTGTTCCCCGAGGCTGTAGTGCAGTAAGCTGAGCTTCAGGAAGGCAGCGCGGTTGTCATTGCGCAGCCTTACGGTCGGTGTTAGATCCTGGATGGCTTTCTGAGGATCACCCATTCGGATGAAACATTCTGCACGAAGCTCCCGTGACTCAGGATCCCAGGGAGATATCTGGAGCATGATGGAAACAGAAATATCCAATTAGTTTAGCTTACCTTACCTTAGCCATATTATTAGCTGACAAGCTAATCTCTAGGCATCAGGTGTGTCACTTACAAGCAAGTGTAGTTTAATTTTATTTTCTATACAGTGATCCCTTGCTATAACGCGGTTTACTTTTCACGGTTTCGCTACTTGACGGATTTGCATCGTGCATTGTGTTCTGCATTCTGATTGGCTAAAAAGTCACTCCGCTTCTTCTCTACCTGTGCGCCAATAACGTTGCGGTTTAATATGTACACGTACGTAAAACAGCTTGCCAAATTGACATTACGTACGTGCAAATTCTCTTGCAATTTCGAGTTTATCAAACCCCATAATGTCGACAAAACGCTCTGGACCGGCAAAAGTACCTGCGGTAGGGACCAAAAGGCAGCGGAAGATGCTGTCTATCGGTGATAAAGTAAAACTATTGGACATGCTAAATGAAGGTAAAAGCTATGCGGCTGAGTCCCTATGTGTCAGCTTGTTCGTTCTTTCTCTTCTTTTTCTGAGTATTTAATTGTAAAAAAAATAAAGATTTCTACTTCACGGATTTTGCCTATCACGGGTTCTTTTTGGAACGTAACCCCCGCGAAAAACAAGGGTTTACTGTATACTTTTTTTTCTAGGTCTGATGTATTTTTTGACAAATTTTAAAGCTATCTTATATTCTGTCATCCTCCCATTTAATCATTGGTAAATTATTATTATATTTTGGATTTTCTTATGGCCTTGAGAAACAAATCCAAAGTTTTTCAAAATCAAAACCTGTTGTCAGGGTTCATCTGAAGGTGTTCACCCACCTCTATGACTCTCTCCAGCACGTTAATTGTGGTGCTATAGTCCCCCTGGTGGTGGGCAGCATGTGCCTCCTCCTGCAGCTCCTCCAGCTCGTGTGCTTTCATCAGCTGGTTCTGAGCTTCTTCGTGGTCTGGAGATCGTTGGAGCTGTGAGGTTGATAACAACTTTGACAACAAGTTTTTTTTAAATTTTCTGACAAAACACTAACACCATCAGAGAAGTGAGGCTGGAGCTACGGAAATAACAGAAGGAGAGAAATGTATAAACTGACCACTGCTTTAAAGTCCTCTCTGGCCTCTTGGGTGTTTCCCTGTTTTAACAGGATGTTCCCTCTCTGCAGTCTGGCCTGTAAGTGGTCAAACACAAAGAGGAAGACTTATTAAGAGTCAGGTCCCAGAAGACACAGAATGAAGTTAACATTTCTGATGTATGGTAGTGAGTTGTTGTAAACATACAGCCAGAAAGTCAGGCTTGAGCTGAATGGCTCTGGTCAGGTCTGGCAGAGCAGATTTGGATTTTCCCATGGCCAGAAACACTGCTGCTCGTTTGTAGTACGTCAGATAGTTCTTAGAGTCTCCCTCTGACAAAAATACAAGATCGGAGAAAACTTTGATTTCCATTTTGTTTGCAGGAGTGTGATAAAGATAGAGTGAAATATCAGCCAGTGGTGGTGAGATGAGGCGTGTGTCTGCAGCTCCACATGTGTAACCTTACCCACAGCAGAGTGGTAGTGGGACAAGGCCTCAGCCAGCTGACCCGCTGCCAAAAGCTTGCGGCCCATTTCCAAGTGGTGTTCAATCTCGACATGAGTTGCCCCCAGGACACCTGTAACATAAAACTGCTTCAGCCCCTGCTGGCAATACATTGCAACGACAAGGTAGAGAAAAACTGAAACGGCAAAGATAACACACTGCAAAAAAGGGTAGGTTGTATCCCTTTTTCTTTCAGAGTGGACAATGCTAATGTTGCTAAACTGCATGTCCACTTTTGTCCCATTCTTGCTGCCCAACAGTAAATCATCACCATTGTCTGTCCATTATCTCCCCCCTCACAATGCTCAATTTCCAATAAGAGAACAGATCTGGACTGCAGGTCGGACAGTCAAGCTCATGCTCCATGTCTATGAAGTCAGGCTTTTGTGATCAGGTTAACATTAAGTTTATGATTTTGCAGAATCAGATTCTGCTGAAGCAGGGGTTTTCAACAGCATGTCCATCGCCACTAGGGGTCCATGAAGATACCAAGATCAGACTTCTTCATATTTGGTTTAAATGAAAGCATGGATCTGTAAACCTGTATAGTGTCATTAGCTTGGTGTGGATTGAAAAATAACAAGTGGATTCACACAGGGCAAGTCCAGTTTAATACAAAACGTACCCTTTTATTCCTTTGTTCAACCCAAACCTTTAGTTTAGTTGGTGCTTCTTCTACACCCAGTCCTAATGTCAATCTTTTAACAGTAATATCCCTGAAAGTACTTCTATAACTCTGACTGTGCCCAAATGTCATTTTCTGCGTTTTCTTTTTGATTTTAGGTTCTTCTCTGGGGATTGGGGTTTGTACCTATCTGTCATTTAAGCTAACATTCAGATATAGTTTGAGGAACTTTTCTCAGCGAGACACGTCAAATTACAGATAACTTTTGAAAGACGTCTGTCTACATGTTAATCTGAGGTGTGAAGCGGTCACTTTTTGGTCCTACCGTCCAGCTGGATATCCAACAGGACACACAGCAGTGACAGGGAGCAGAGAACCCCGCTGAGTCCGTTCCGACGACACCAATCCATGCCGAAACCACCCGCACTCCCCAAGCTAGCTCACTGACGAAAGCCCCCGCTCTCAACGAAACCAGCTACACTCACTCTCAACGTAAATCATCTGTTCTATGGCTGTTTTAAATCCCCATCTTGTCTTTTCTGTGAACCGAGGAACAGTAACAGCAAACGCCAGTGTATTTACGGTCCCTGCGTATCAGTGGTCCGTATGGAAAAACGAGTGAGTCTGCGCTACAAGGTTCCCAGCTCCGGAAAAATAGATAAAACAAATATTTTTCACATATTACCGATATTAATTTTCATGTATGTTTATTTTACGAATATGATACTGAAATTAATAGTTGACGACGCGCTACATTTTGTAAATTAAGCCTTTTTTACATCTCGCTAATTTTACTGGCTGATAGCTCACTGATTGGTCCACGCGGGACAATTCGGTTCTCGTCACGAGACGTGGGCTTATCTGATTGGATAGTTTATTTTAACAGCACTTTGATATTTTAATAGAACCAAAACAGGCGTCAGTTCATCAGCACATGGTCCGAGAATGGACCTGCGAGTGTTTTTAGAGTGACGAGGCCGCAGTCAGTGAAGCGTGACACGAAGATTTGGGTCAGGCGAGACAATGTGGAACCGCTGATGAGATGAGCGCAGGTTGTGCTTTTGCCGAGAGTTAGCAAAAGATTAAATACTGGGGAAAGTATTATATAAGTAATATAAACAGTTTGTAGGGAGCCAGAAAAGTACAAGGAAGTTTGTATATGTAGCTAAATAATTAATTTAATTCCAACAATGTGTAAAAATTACATCTGAATACTACACCAAACTCATTTTATTATGTGCAATAGTAAAAAAAGGAAAGAAGACAGAAAATATGGTGAAAACAAAGACAGAGTCAAATTTTATCTACACAAGTGCCAAAAAGACACAGAAAGAGGAATCATCAGACCTTTGACCTTCCTGCAGCAAACAGGAAGTGTCAGTGCAGATCAGCAGATTAAAAACAAACAAGTGCTAAAAAATATTCATCCTGAACTAAAGAGACATGAGTGGCTGAACTCTGTACAACTTTTACAACAACAACAACATTAGTGACATCATCGTTACACTGTTACACCGTCACACCGTCACAGAGCAGCAGACTTCTGACTGGTTTTATTTACAGTGTAGAAACAGCAGTAAGGACGCAGCTCCTGTTCACACAGTGTTTCCACCTGACCAGAGGTGAAGACCACCTGCCGCCAGTCTACAGACAGCAGCTCCGTCTCTTCCCCTCAGACGTAGGCGTTCCGTCCATAAGTGCTGGCCCCTGCACTTCTGGACAGCGCTGCTCCAGAATACGCCGTTCCTCTGCTCTGATAGGGCATATGGCTGCAGAGAAAAAGAACAACAATGTTGCATGAGATTCAACCTTTTGTCATTTGTTGTATTTTTTTCTCCAGTTCTTAAATTTAGACTTTTTTTAAAGTCAAAATTTTAAAGAAAGGCTTAATGTTTTAGCCAGCATTAAGCCTTTCCTTTTTTAAAATTCTTTTTGGTGTGTTTTTGTTGAATATTCTGAAAACTCCCTGTGGTCTGATAAGGCTGCAGGAAAATCAAATATATGACACATTTAACTGTTATTTATGGGCTTTTTAAAAAACTATTCCCTGAAATAATACTTAACCATATTTTGTTGAGTGTTAACCATATCTTGGTTAACATATAACTTCCTGGACTTTGTATTATTTGGAATATCTTTTGTTAAATGTGTGGAGGAAATGCTGTTATTATTATGCTACAATCTTGTAGCAACATTTTTCTCTGTAGTCTTTTTATTCATCTGTGGTCAGTTTGGTTGGAGTAGAGAGTGGCAAAAAATATGACACTTATTTAGCTTTTTTATAAATTCTTTAATGTCATTTTTTATTTATACACAATTTAGAAAAATATGTCATTTAATTATGTCTTTATAAATTGCTTTGTACAGGCTTTTTGCATTTTAATAATAATAATAATAATAATAATAATAATAATAATAATAATAATGAGAACTTCATTGTTCCCACATTTAAATGTTAAATGTAAATTGTTGCGCTGCAACAGGCTGCCCAACAGGAGGCGCCAAGTATGTGGCTTCTCCGGGGCTCGAAATCAGGACGTTCTGCATGTAACGTGTGTAAGCAATCAATATCTGTTGGCTATGAAACCACTCATTTTTGCTATGTCTCTGGCTAACCTTTAGCTTACAATTTCAGTTGATGTTAATAGAAATATTATGACATTTAATATAAAATGTTTTATATGAAATCATATTTTTACAAATGCAGATGTTTTTCACCTCTGTAGCGACAAAGAAGACAGAAAAACAGTCACCAAAAGCTAAGACACTAGGATGTGATGCTAAAAGTCGACTTACTATTTAGTAGGCTCCTGTGTGCCCATTTTGCAGGAGCAGGTGAGACAGGCTCCACCTGCGATGGCCAGGATGGCGGAGCACCAACCGATGTAGAGGCCTTCTCCAATCTCATACCTGCAGGAAAGAGTGGAACCCGCCATTCAGAGGGTCAAAGGTCATGTTAGGGGTTCCTATCCCACCACACCAACACCAGTGTCTGACCTTGTTCCCAGATGTAGAGGATTAAAGAAATCCTGAGTGATGTTGAAGGCATACCAGGAAACTGACACCATGGTACACAGACCTGAGGACAGAAAACACCGAGATTAAAGACAGCAGTACAGTAGTTAATCATCCAGCTGGTACTAACAGGTACTAACAGGTACTAACAGGTACTAACTGGAACTATTTCTAAGCTATCCTTTAGAAATCTGCTTTCTAATTGAAGTCAGGGGGCATCATTGCTTCTTTTAGCGCTACAGTTGGCTAATGCTTTGCTCTCTGTTAGCGACCATTGAATTTAGTTGAGCTGCTTTATTTTGTGAACATTATTTTTTTTTAAAAACAGTTTTTGATCAAATCAGCTTTTTTAAATCTATCTAAAGCTCCTTTAAGCTCTTTTTTTATTATTCAATTTTGAAAAAGTTGAGAAACCACCAGTGATTTTTACCCTGCAGAATGAACAGGACTCCAGCAGTGCCGGCGATCCTGCCTTTCAGAACATAGTCCTCTCCTCCTGCCTTAGAACACTGTAGTCCAATCAGCGCCGCCACCAGGCCAAAGGTGCCAAGGATGATGGATGTAATCATCAAGGCACGAGACGCCTGGATGTAACCTGCAGAGGGAATGGAAAAACACTGAGTGGAAGTTTCTGTTCAAACAGACTGGAGAACTGAAGTTAAACTGGAGAACAAGAGTTAAACTGGAGAACTAGAGTTGAACTGGAGAACTGAAGTTGAACTGGAGAACTAAATTTAAACTGGAGAACAAGAGTTAAACTGGAGCACTAGAGTTAAACTGGAGCACTAGAGTTAAACTGGAGCACTAGAGTTAAACTGGAAAACTAGAGTTAAACTGGAAAACTAGAGTTAAACTGGAGAACAAGAGTTAAACTGGAGCACTAGAGTTAAACTGGAGAACAAGAGTTAAACTGGAGCACTAGAGTTAAACTGGAGCACTAGAGTTAAACTGGAGCACTAGAGTTAAACTGGAGAACTAGAGTTAAACTGGAAAACTAGAGTTAAACTGGAGAACAAGAGTTAAACTGGAGAACTATAGTTAAACTGGAGAACAAGAGTTAAACTGGAGAACTAGAGTTGAACTGGAGAACTGAAGTGAAACTGTAGAACTAGAGTTAAACTGGAGCACTAGAGTTAAACTGGAAAACTAGAGTTAAACTGGAAAACTAAAGTTAAACTGTAGAACTAAACTAAACTCTTCTTCTTCTATCAAACATGTTCATGTCAACAGCGGCATCAAACTGGAGAACTGAAGTGAAACTGTAGAACTAGAGTTAAACTGGAGAACAAGAGTTAAACTGGAGAACAAGAGTTAAACTGGAGCACTAGAGTTAAACTGGAGCACTAGAGTTAAACTGGAAAACTAGAGTTAAACTGGAAAACTAGAGTTAAACTGGAGCACTAGAGTTAAACTGGAGAACTATAGTTAAACTGGAGAACTATAGTTAAACTGGAGAACAAGAGTTAAACTGGAGCACTAGAGTTAAACTGGAAAACTAGAGTTAAACTGGAGAACAAGAGTTAAACTGGAGCACTAGAGTTAAACTGGAGCACTAGAGTTAAACTGGAGCACTAGAGTTAAACTGGAGAACAAGAGTTAAACTGGAGCACTAGAGTTAAACTGGAGAACTATAGTTAAACTGGAGAACTGAAGTTAAACTGGAGAACTGAAGTTAAACTGGAAAACTAAAGTTAAACTGGAGAACTGAAGTGAAACTGTAGAACTAGAGTTAAACTGGAGCACTAGAGTTAAACTGGAAAACTAAAGTTAAACTGTAGAACTAGAGTTAAACTGGAAAACTAAAGTTAAACTGGAGCACTAGAGTTAAACTGGAGAACTATAGTTAAACTGGAGAACTGAAGTGAAACTGTAGAACTAGAGTTAAACTGGAAAACTAAAGTTAAACTGGAAAACTAAAGTTAAACTGTAGAACTAGAGTTAAACTGGAGAACAAGAGTTAAACTGGAGCACTAGAGTTAAACTGGAAAACTAGAGTTAAACTGGAGAACTAAAGGTAAACTGGAGAACTAGAGTTAAACTGGAAAACTAGAGTTAAACTGGAGCACTAGAGTTAAACTGGAAAACTAAAGTTAAACTGTAGAACTAGAGTTAAACTGGAAAACTAGAGTTAAACTGGAAAACTAAAGTTAAACTGGAAAACTAAAGTTAAACTGTAGAACTAGAGTTAAACTGGAAAACTAGAGTTAAACTGGAGCACTAGAGTTAAACTGGAGAACTAAACTAAACTCTTCTTCTTCTATCAAACATGTTCATGTCAACAGCGGCATCATTGTCAGACTGGAGTTCAGTAAAGATCTGGAGAGGGTTAACTGATCAGAGGTCAAACGACTTCAGCTCCATTTTAAATCCAGATTATAATGTTTGAGGAACAACAATCACGATTATTGATTTAATTCTAAAACTTTGATACTAATACTGATATTGTGGTATAACTTACATGTTAAAACAATGTTGAAGAAAATGGAAATATAAGCAACTTGTCTAATGTCAATGTTAAAAAAAAACTCTGAGATGAAATTAGCTAAAATATAAGAAACAACTGGCAAAACTTTAATAATTTAAAATCTCACCAAAACATTTAATTGGTCAAAAATCTGTTACACCAGCATAATGTATATTATTATTATACTATTATATATATGTGTGTGTGTGTGTGTGTGTGCTAATAGAGATAATCAACTTTTAGTTGATTATATGCTGCAGGTTAGCTAAGAAGTTAGCTACTGCATCAAAGCAGAGAGAGAGAATTGATGTGTCACTGTTTGGTCTGTAGTTGACCTGGTCTGGGAGTGTGTTGGACATAAGTAGTAGGTAGAAAACTAACTCCATGGATTACCTAAGGAGATTACAATGGTCAGAATTATTTCGAATGTCTCCTTCTAACTCTAGTCACTTTTCTCCAAAGACAAAATCAAAAGTTTGTTTTTTTTTCCTCACCACTCAGAGCCAGCAGCGAGGGAAACTCCCTGCAGTTGTGAACGCCGGTGGAGTCGGTCGCACACGACATCCACAGGTTCTCGTAGATGGTGGAGGTGGTGATGACGTTCCCGTCCACCGTGGATGTTCTCCAGTACCGGTTGGGCAGTGCGACCCCTACCATCACCCACCCCAGAAACCCCAGAACCAGGGCCACCACTTCCACAATAGGATCCATCTTCGTCCTTCTTCTTCTTCTTCTTCTTGGTCCAAAAGCTGATCCAGATCGAAGACTCACAAAGGTTGTGTTTGCAGATCAGAACGTCTCGGACTGTGTGTGTGTGTGTGATCTGCAAATATGTATAATCATTTATAAGAACAACTCTCCCTCCTCCCCACACTTTTTTTACACCCCTGAAACTGAGCAGGTGTTTATCACCTCAGTCTCAGGGTCCAATGGTCGCTCCTGTCCTGCACTTAATCACTCTGTCCTGTGTGTGTGTGTGTGTGGGTGGGTGTGTGTGTGTGTTTCCTGACAGCGTGTGTGGACGTGTCATTCATTACAGCTGACCTGATTATTGATCATTTTATCAGGCTCACTATTGGAATCCTGAAGGAACGACCTGTTCATTCAGACCACAGCACAACAACACAAACCAGTGGTGTGTGTGTGTGTGTGTGTGTGTGTGGGTGTGGACTCAGTCAAGCTCAAACCATGGGATAAAGTCATCACCTGTTAGATAAGCCTACAATATAAGGATTTAGCCTGAGGTTTGAGCAGGTCGTTCTGTTCTTTGGACCACGTTGGAACTGTTATTTCCTGCTCACACAGGAGGACGGAACAAGAGGAACAAATAACCAGAGCACAACACGAGACACTAGTCAGAATGAGCCTGGAGTCCAAAACAGTGGACAGAGCTCTGCTGAGGAAGTGACTTCTGTCCGGAGCTGTTGAAAGCATCATGTTTCTAGAAGTTTTAGAAAAATAAAACATTTCAGTTGTTGCTCGGAGAACAGCATGAATATGAATCTGTCACAACGTTTCCAATGTCATAAAAAAAGTGAGCAATTCTGTTCATATGATCTGTGGAGGTTCTTAGTCATCCAGGTCATTTAATCCAAAACTAGTTACATCCAGGGCAACTGGACGAGGCAGGTTTCCTGAACAATCATCTTCTTGGATGAGAGGTGAAACGTCTTCTGCTCCGTCCAGTTGCCCTGGATGTATCTATTTTTGTATATTCATACTGGTAAAAACTAGTAGGAGAGGATTTTGGCCCTGGGTGATGTTCAGAGAGGTTGATGTGTGGGAAACCAGGAAGAAAGTGTGTCAAAAGAGCCCAGAACATCTGCCAAGATACAAGTGAAGGACCAGCTCCGGTTTGGACCGCAGGTGTGAACAAAGACCTCTTTGCTGAGGACTGGACTGGATCACACCAAGAGTCCAGGTCCAACTACTTCTGCTGAAGACCAGGCTGGAGTCTGCTGAGAAGAAGCTGGATAAGAGACACAGACTGAAGGAGATCATCTGGTCTGAGGAGACTGAAGCTGGACGTCTGTGAATCTAGAAGTGTGAATGTTGTGAATGAAGAAAACAGAAGACAAAGGAGATTCAGATGAATCAAACAACACAGTCACACACGCAGCAGTGGGACCTAGAGGAACCTAATCCAGTGGAACTGTTCCTCTTCTAATAGTGACTGTCAACAGCGGCATCATTGTCAGACTGGAGTTCAGTAAAGATCTGGAGAGGGTTAACTGATCAGAGGTCAAACGACTTCAGCTCCATTTTAAGTCCAGATTATAATGTTTGAGGAACAACAATCACGATTATTGATTTAACTCACTGGTCTCCAGCTTCAGGAGACCATCAGGTCCTCCAGAGAAGACGGACCTGTGACACCCCAGGACTGACCTGACTGAAGCTGAGACCACGGCCACACAAAAGAAACACAGCTCAGTATTTTAATGATTTTATTGCTTTAAACTGCTCACACCTAAGGGCCACGCCCCAGGTTTTTATGATTTGGAATGCTTGTTGCCTCACTGCCATCAAGGCTGTGTTTGTTAATGGAAACATCAGAGTTGATGAAGTTGGAGAGGACAGATACTGAAGGTCAAAATATTCCAATGTGATGAACAACTCCAATCTCAAAGTTCTCTATCTATCAACACTGAGACTGAGACCAAAACAATGTTTTTAAGGAGGTGAAACAGCAAAATAAGACAGGAACTGAGGAAAAGGTCACCATTCAGTGAGGTGGAGAACAGGAGAAAACCATATTTCAACCACTGTGTCGGTTTGGGGCTGCATTTCTGCCACAAACCTGCTAAAAAAAATCCCCTGTGGCCACTAGTTCTGCTCCAGTCAAGAATGAAGAGAGGAGGATGAAATATATAATAAAATATAAACTCGATCAAGTAAAAACATTTAAATTATTAGGAACATGAACTAAATTAAACATTCAGTCAACAAATGGCAGTTTGTCCTGTTTTAGTCAAGGTGAGAAAAAAGAGAGAAGGTCAGCCAAGAAACTGCACCAAGAGAAAACAAACAGCAGCCAAAGGTTCATCTTAAATATGCTGGATTAAAACGGCATAAAGTTTGAAAGGAAACATATTGTTAGTCCAGGAAGAGTAAAGAAAAAAATGAACAGAAAGATAACAGCACTGTCAACACGATGTCAACGCGACGATGATGTTGACACAGTTTCTCTGTTGTGGAGTTTCACTTTTTTTCTGCTGCTTCAGTTTCTGTGTTTGTGTGTCTTCATTAATAATCCTGCTGATAGCTGCAGATAGCTGTTTAAACACACACACACACACACACACACACACAGACTGAGGTCAGTAGGTTGATAATGTAGTTTAACGTTGACCTAAATCTCAGACGGAGGTGTCTTTGGAGTAAAGGTGAGTTTATGTTTCTAAACTAATAAACTAATGAAGGTGAACACCTACGACACAAGTCTCACGATAGTTTTTACGACACTGAAGACTTTCGTTCCGATAAATCGATCTAAAGTTCATTATTGTTAAATTCGTGTTTCGGAACCCACCTGGTTTAGTTTTGGACAGCTTCTTTCAAATTTTCCCATAAAGCTTTGTAATTTTTCTTCTAAGGCAACACTTAGCATTTATTCCTCCATTTTCTTTTGCCAACTTTTATCTAAGCATCTATTTCAGAATCCGCATTTTGCCTAACACAAGTTTTGTTTATTTTAAGCATATTTAGCTAATTTAGTTTATTTATAGTTACATGGGCTAACTTTTAGTTACTTTTACTGTTACTTTAGTTGTCTATTTTTGTCCATTTTTTGTCAACATTTAGCCAATTTGAGCTTCATATGTAATGATATTTACTATAAATTACTTGCTAACTTAATAGTTTACCTAAAACTTTAGGAAAATAAAGAAAAAATGCTAACAGGGTTAAAGATAGCTCTTTGGCACATTTTAGCTCGGACACAAAGAAAAAGAGTGGCTCACGGACAGGTAAATATAATCAGAGAAATAACATATAAATGGCAATAAAGTAAACAATGACAAAACTTGTAAATAAATGAAAATGTAAATGCAAAACGTTTAGCTATTTTTGTTAACATTGAACAGTTGATACAATTTCTCTGAGCAGGTTTAAGCTGATCGAACTTTAACCAACATTCTACTTATTATCAATTCCATAATTTCCTCACAAAGTGCCGGAATTTTAACTCACTATACATTCATTTTAACTTTTAACTAATTCTCCTAATTAATAATGCCATAGCTAACACCTTTCTGCCTGCTGACTATTGTTAAGGTATTTTTTTCTTTTGGTCAATATCAACAGTTACAGAGACCATAGCACAGCTGCAGTGACATGCTAATTGTTGAAGCTCAGAAACATCCGGTTCTACTGGTTCAGACCAGGAGTTCCTTCTGTCGTCCAATTTTTCTTGGAATGCACGCGAATCCAATTCCAATGCTTTCCAGGAATTGCTTTATAAAAGGTCATAAAATCCAAAATTCATTGACAGAAGCTGTTTGTCATTTACATCCAGACACAGTCAGAACAAACGCAAACTAAATGAGCTGTAAAAGCTCAGCCCAACAGTCAGTCATTCACACAGCAAATCAGACGAAGCTGTGGTCCAATAAAAACATCACCGCGTGAACATGTTTTTGTGCATGGCTTCATTTTTTTATTTTATTTCCTACAGATAAAAGTTACTGACAATAATTAATTTGTGTAACTACTAGTTAAAGAGAAAATATCCATCAAGTACTTCCACAAATAAACTAAGGATTAGGGAAATGTGTAGAAATGAGCTCAACACTAATTAAAAGATCATTTTAATTGCTAAATGTAGTAGTTAAATAAATAAAATTAGGCACAAATGGAATTTAAAGCCATCCCTGGAAAGAATGAAAGTTAGACTAAATGACTGGGACCATTAACAAACATTAGCACAGCGATGGCAGACACGAGTT